TTATTACGAGCCAAAAAGGACTTTATTTGCTTCATGGAAGAAGTAGTAAAAGAAAGAATAAGCCAGGTTTGGCTTAAAGGGTCCCACAAGGTGAATATAAGCTCAACGATAAACTATAAACCCTTTGGTATCCGAGTTTCTTCACAAAACAACCAGTCTGCGCGTAGGAATCTTTACTACAAAAGTACTAGATACAGTACTCTATAAATAGACGTCTAACAAACAATCCGTTCAGGCTTTAAGTGAGGTTTTCAACATGTTGAATACAATATCCAACTAACAGTACACTGCTCAACAATAACAACTACTTCTGCATCACTTTATTCGATAATTACTTTCTTCCGTAAGACGAAGTGAAGTGTACCACAGTTTAAGCTTGACCAGTCACGTTGAAATGTCTCACCAACATCCATTCGTTGTTTACGAACTTCGTACTAAAACAGACTTATTAACTGCAGCCATAGAATATTCAAAACAGAGAAAATTTGAAACTTTCATCCGCATAGATTCAGCGAGACTAGCGAGGAGACTAGGAGATTGTTTTCAAGGGTTCAAAAAACAAAACCTCATTCAAGGGTTTCTGGGATCCATACAGAACAGGAACTCCGTCAGTGTAAGGGATGGGGTTGTATTTGCCTTTTAGGGAAATTTTCCTCGAGCCGCAAGAAACCTTTCGACTGCTGACTTTTCTCGGTTTTCCCGTTTCATGTTCGCGGTGTGCCACCTCTACTTACCGCAGAATTACGAGAACCCAACAACTACTATTGTTGCCAGTTGAAACCAGTAGTTGATTAATGAAGAGCTCCCCCTTCGCTCGATACCAGTTTTTTCCCCTATGGGGGAGGGGATGACGGAAAAACTGTGAATTTCCTGGAAAACTGGGAAAGAGTGGTAGCATGCTGTGGAAACTTAGGAAGATGATAGTAGGCAGTCGTAGCAGATGACGAAGTTGTTTCTTTCTTTTTTGGGCGGCGGGGGGATGCACTGAAACCAGGGGGGGTCGTAATGCCACCATCATTCCACCCATCACAATGCCGCACTATCTTCAATGTGCAGCTCTTGGGTCGTGCGAAAGTTTAGTCGCGAACCCGCATTAGGAGGTAGAGAAAAATCAAAAGTAAGAGGGCGCAGACAAGTAGCGCGTTTGGATACTGTTAGTCGTGTAGCTGGTAATACGGCATCACGCGTAGTCGGGAAACGATAGTTGGGTGACTCTGCCCTCCAAACCTGTTCCCTTTCACCTCTGATGGTGAGAGAGGGAATACACGCCGTTTTAGGTACGGACCCATTTACCCTGCACATGGCAAGACAAGAATTCACGGAGGTATGTGAACCGCTAGTCTTCAACGTTCAATATTCCTTATCAGTTGTGTGCTTTGTTTAGTAGAACGTGGTGCAACTTAGAAAAACACCCCACTCGTTCAAAATTACACTTACAGGTAGTTCCTAATGCCATCTGGAAGGATCACCACAACATTCTTATCTTCAGGAAGACCACGAGCAACTTCCAGAGCAGCATGAACATTCGATCCCGAAGAGCCTCCGCATAGGATTCCTTCTTTACGAATGAGCTCGCGGAGCTACTTCGAACGATTCCTAAAGCAAAACTGTGAAGTTCAAAGAGAAGTACAGCTAAGCGCCAAATATGGGCATACCTTATCAGTTGACTTCAACCACTTGTCGACCACATCTCGGTTCAGAGTTCCGGGGACAAAATCGTATCCTACACCTTCAACTTCATAGAAAGCTGTCTCGCCGAGACTTGGATCGGCTAGAATTGAACCCTCTGGATCCACGCCAACCACCTGACAAACAAGATGGCTACAATTCTCTTTCAGACCCATACTATTAAGGTTCACCTACCACGCAGTTCGGGATTTTCTCCTTGATCTTTTTTGCGCAACCGGTTACAGTTCCTCCCGTTCCAGCGCCAATTACCTGAACATAAAATAAACTAGAACTTAAGATAAAACAAACAAAGGTGCAATGTTGAGGGGGGGGCATGTTGCTGATTCCTTTCGATCACAGCCGATTCCTGCGGAAACTTGCAAACTCTTGTAAAGCTATGCAGTAACATGCCCATAATTTACAACTGACAAAAGTTACAAGTTTCAGCGAGCTGGGACGTGTAATCTGACAGAAACTACCAAAAAACTAATAAAAGTGCAAAATGCTCCTCCCAAGACGAATCGCCGACTATGAAAGTGGAAACTTACCACATAATCTACGTTGCCATCTAGAGCATCTATGATTTCCTCGGCTGTCTGTTCATAGTGCGCCAAGGGATTGCCCATATTGCGATACTAAAATACATAAATTATGAGTTAAAGCGATGATTTTAGAGGAGAAGAGGAACAAAGAACCGCCTCAGAGGCGTGCCTATGCCACAGGAAGACGGATGCTGTAGAAAGGGAGGCGCAATAGTTTTCTGTTCCCGCCCATCCGCTAACCGAGGAATAAGCCCTTTACTCGCATAGAAAGAGTCCATCCACTCTGATGAAAAGCTTTCCCTGAGTTTTCAAAGGTTCCGGCAAGGAGGTGGGGCGGTTATCCTAGCTACATTAGTGGAAAGGCCCCAGTGGATGCGACCAAGCGCGCTCCCATCAGTGACGCAGAAATTGCCGCTTCGCCTCCTAGCCCACAGCCACACATCTAACCATAAACCAACCATAAACCGCTGACCATAAAAGGATACTGTTCGAAAAATGAACCCTACCTGATCAAGGATGATGGCACCTGGGATTTCATTTTGTAACCGTAGAGATACTCCAATATGAGAATAGGCGGAGTCGAATGCTGCATCATTGGGAGTTCTGACAATGGCCGCACCAAGCGCTTCCACAGTCAAGGCTTTTTCTTTAGACATTTTCTCAGGCATAACAATGATGCATCTGAATGAATAATCTGATCTACCACTCGAACAGTATGGCACGATTTTTGAAATTTTTTCATTTACATCTCAACTTTTTTCATAATTTCCTTCTGGTCACCCTTAAGCGTACCACAGGAAGATAAAACTCTTCCAAGCGCTGTTCGGTTTGGGAGGAGCAAATTGCACTTCAGCTACTTCCCATCGACGTGTTCATTGACAAGTGTTAACAGGTATTGCTTGCAAGAGTGACAAGTGGTCTCTACAAGATTTGACTGGTAGCACCCCATGGCTTCACAAGATTTCACAGTTCCCTCCACGTGATGGCTCGACACTCGACAGGAAGTAGCGAAAGTGTAAATTGCCCCCCCCCCCCCCCTTACTTCACAAACCTAAAAGTCCAAAGTAATAAGGGTATATAAACGTTGTTTCTCACTTACCCGTATCCTTTCACAGCAGCTGCAAGAGCAAGTCCTATTCCAGTGTTTCCTGATGTTGGCTCAATTAAAGTCATTCCGGGCTTCAATCTTCCTTCAGCTTCAGCAAGTTCAACCATTCGGAGCGCTATTCTGTCCTTTGTTGAACCTCCAGCATTGAAATATTCGCATTTCACATCTGTAATTCATTTAATGACATACATTATCGAAGTTGTTTCAGTATGACGACAGCAGTACTTCTTTGCTTTCTGCCACATGCCCTTTGCCCTTTCTGAGCGGTCGTGGTGGCGCAATGGATGGCGCACTCGCCTTAAAAGCGTGAGGTGCGGGTTCGAGGACCGCTTAGAGTCTGACTTTGCCCATAACTCAGCATTCCTTTATGACCTACAGAGGAACCCCAACGTTCAACCTAGACTAATCAAGCTCAAGTGCTGCCAGTAAACAGCCAGGATGCCGACTGTCACCGCACTCGCCGGAGAGAACAAAAAGATTATTATGCACCTTGGTTGGCTTCTGCGAGCCATTCTGCAGGCCAAGTATTCAGGCACCATTGTGAGTCCTAACAGAACTCGAATGCGTGGGCACCGAAAAAGCGATGCCAGGGTCAGGGGCTGTATATTTCATTCAAAAAAAGTTGCTTACACATATTGCACTTGACTCCGTTGTCTTTCGGAACTTTTTGAAGCTTTACCAGTGGGGTATTGTTGATAGCCTCCAAAACGTTATTCATAACAGCTGGACGTTCTTTCCTGAAATTGACAGGATTAATAAAAATAAGTGATCTTGAAAAAAAGTATTTTAGTCATTGACCAATTTCTCTCAAGGTTTCCGTAGGATTCACGAAGAAGCAGATCTGCGTGGAAAGTATGTACGGCATGACCAAGGCCCGCCCTGCCGTTGGGGAGAAGTTTCGCAGAATACGAATTCCCTCTCCCCCCCCCCTTCTCCAACCACTCAAGTACGACTTCATTCCACCTGGAAAACTACCACTCTCCTTTTCTTCCCGCACCAAATAACTTATCGATCAAGTTGATGAATGGAGGAGCGGGGAGAGGGGGGGAGGGTAAAATTCATTCCCTCGCGAAACATCGGAACATCTTCTGCATCTCGCACTGAGCACAGACCTGTGCAATATAATACGAAGCAATGCCTCAAGTTGAACCCACTCCTCTCTCTTAACGAAGAACTTCAGAAATTCTCCGTGACTCCCGGTTGAGGCGCCGGGACAGTTCACGCAGAGAACAGGTAGTCAAAAGGTGCGTAGTTTGTTCAGTACGAAAGCCATTTCGTGTCACGGGCTGGGTTTGGTCCAGCCAGCCACTATTCCACCATTGTGGCCGTCTGCCGGCTTCCACATCGTTAGGCGCCAAAGTAGCACCCCGCGACACACCCCAGCGTCCGTACCGTACCAGACTGTATCATACGCAGGAAGTGTAAGAAGAAAAAGACACAACAAAAATAAGGGCTTTAAGACCAGATAGTCCCCCTTTCTTAACATTTTTACCTGAACAGGTTTTGGAAGCTTCTGCGAAACAATTTCGTCATGATTTTTTCGTCTTTTCGTCTTGTGTTCCAAACTCCAGAAGTGTAGTAAGGATTCGTAGACGATAATGCTGGCGAAATCAAAGGTACTGTTTTTAAAATAGTGGTACGGTTAAGCTAAATTGAAGCCCAATTAGGCTTCTGACACAGTGAACTTACTCTTTTGGCTTTGGCAAGTCTTCTTCTCATATTGTAGCAATAATTTTGTTTTTCAAAAAAGCCACTCCTGATCGATGAACTCGTTGCCTGAAAAACCAAGAAGATCAGTTTCGCTCGGAGCTTCTCTCTCTCTTTCCTCTTTTTTTTCTCTCTCTCTCTCTTCGGACTGCTGAATGGACTACTCCGTGCGAAATATCCGAGAACTGTGTTTGGGTCAGGAGATCCGAGTTGCGGCGACAAGCAGAAACTGATGATGGAGGCGATCCAAGTGGGACTACTTCTTTGCCGAAGCCCGCCAGGCACTGTTCTGCAAGCAGTTATTGAACAGGCGGCACGCGACCAAGGAATCGCGGGAAAACGACTGATACCAAGCGACTGATCGCAGTCTTCGCTTGTCGCAAACTGGCTTGATGTCGCGCCAAAGCATCCTCCTGGCACGCCCCATCAACGCAACGAACAGTTCGCGGTGTTGATAGCTAGTTGACACAGCTTACTGCACCCCTTTTACTGCACCCCAAATGCAGGCCGCCCCTGACATGGATGCCGCGCACAATGAACCACAGCCTTCCCCTCCCCAACTCGGATGTACTGACGCCATGCCCTAGCCGCTAGGGGTGTAAGTGTTGTTCAAGGATACGCAGTCCATATGCAGTAATACCTACTCTCGTCACCAAATAACATTCATTGAGCGACTGACTGAAATAACGGCGCAGTTCGGCGGGGGGGGCATTTTCCATTTCCGGAGATCTGCTTTCACTAGTTCCGGGTCGCGACGGCCGGTGAATCTGTGAACTGTTTGCTAAGCCTGGAGCTGGAGCAAGCTCGTCGAGCCACCATGGCGAAACTTGTCAACTCCTGTAAGATCGTGAAACAGCGCTTTAGATAATTCGACACGTCGGTAGGAAGTAGCAGTAGTGCAAAATGCCCCCCCCCTCGTCGCCGAACTGCCCCGCTAGCTTTTCTCTAAGCAAACTAGTCTAATATACTCACATATAATTCCTAATTCCATCAGCTGCCACCACCACAACATTGCTGCCTTCCGGCAAGGATTCAGCCAGCTGAAATGCAGCACATACTGAGAAACCCATGAGAATCGTGATATGTAGAGGGTATGTCTGAATGTTGAAATCCAACCTTCAGTGCGGCAAATACCGCTGCGCCTGATGACGGTCCTATCATCAATCCCTCTTCCTTGATTAGTTGGCGTGCCATGAGGAAGGCATCCTGCAAACTTTTTGAATAGCGCAGAAACATCTGTTCAGCTAAACTGAAGCCTTTGCTTGTTGGCTTAAAGGAAGCGTACCTTAGAATGCACCATTTCAACTCCAGTGCCAGATGAAAAATCAGCAATTGCTGAAGAATTTTTACAGCTCAGCTCAGGAACGGGGGGATACGATGAGTCATCGCTACAAACGCCATATACCTTAATGAAGAAAGAACTTCTCTGTAGGTATCTGTTTTCAGGACACATTCCGCGATTGACAAGCGTGGGTACGGGTGCAAGAAAGGCAACTAGCAAACGAGAAATTGCTGTGAAGACTCTCAATAAGGGGCCCCTCTCAGCAGTTGATTTTTGCGCAGAGTGACAAAACAAGTGGAGGTGAAGGAATAGCATAAAGCGTGGGCGAGAGACTAGAGATAAAAAAAGGGAGCAGAAAATCGAGCAAGCTGAAAATGACACTTGAAAAATACTACACTCAGACATGGTAGCGGACCGACACAGATATGGGCGCAGCGCGAAAGCCGCTCTTCGTGAGCGGGGCTATCAACTAGTGGGAGGGGCCACTGCGCGGAATGACAATTTTAGCGATATCTTTGGGTGGGGCTGCTAATTAGTGGGAGGAGCTACTGTACGGAATAGCAGCCTTCCCACCATCTCTGGACGGGGCTACTTACTGGTGGGAGGAGCTAGTGGTAGAATAAGGGCCTAACAACCATCTCTGGGTGGGGCTACCCACTAGTAGGTGGAGTTAGCTGTGCGGAATAAAGGCCCTCGCACCAAGTGATGCAACTTTCACGACTGCGGACTGGCTACTTTGTTCAAAGTGGAAATTTTACCCGCCAGATTATCGCTGTATGTGTCTTCAACAGGGAAATTTTCAACAAACCTTGGTACCAGGAAGATGTTGTTCGACATACTTCGAGATACCTGTCAAGGCAGCACCGACAAGTTTCTGCTAGCAGGGACCACGATCAGATCACCTAAAATGTTTTAATTTTAATTTTTTGCACAGTGTGTAGGTAACTAGCTCACCTTATTGTTGAGAGCGGTGGCAATTTCGACGGCTGTGCTCTCATAATGAGCCAGGGAATTGACAACAGAATCCTCCTGTATGTACAAGCATCAGTATTATCATGACAAAAAATCTCATATCCCGGAGACTCAGGGGCGTGGCCAGGTACTTCATTTGGACGTGGGGTAGGTCGCATTCTAGGGGATCATTCTATCTGAGACAAGTGTAATCCTGTCTAGTACTTGAGAGACACATGATTACAACTTGCTCCGGAACAAAATATCGCCACAAGTACAATGCCGTATCCCTACAAGGTGCAGCCGCGGTCACTTTCAAATACGTGTCCACGCCTTCTCCATTTCCAGGATATCGACTGTATGACTGTGGATGTGGGACGACGCGCATGCGAAATTTGTGACACATTACATCGTGTGCAAACTAGCCACTATTTCTTAGCCGGTTGACTTAACATATTGCAGAAACTCCATGCTAAATCAATTAGGTCCTGGTGCGAATGCCGCGAACGCGACACCGCTAGCGATACCGCTGGCAACGCCGTTTTCACCTCGCAGCTACAACGTTGATGTGAGGCCCCACACCCATCATTTACATTACGATGTAAGCATACCTCGTCAAGGAAATAGGAGTTTTCAATTCCGTGGGCGACAATCTTTGCATAATCGATAAAACTGATGGCTTTGTGAGCTCCTTCAAGATTTGCGAGAACAACCTAAAAAATTTTTTCATGTAAAAACCAGGATATGTCAATCCGATGAGGTGCAGTACGGTTTGGTGGGGGCAACTTGTTGGCCTCTATCGATCACCGCCGATGCCTCCTGAGAGAACCTGTTAACTCTTGTGAAGCTATGCCGCAGCACAAGCTTCGTTTACCCTTTACAACAGTCTACAGGTCTTACCAAGGTGAGACGTGTAAGTAAATCGGAACTATTGAAATTGACTAGCGAAATTGATCGGGGACGGGTTTGGCCCAGAGTCCCCTGAGCCTGATACCGCCCTTATTCTCCCAAATAGTATGAAAATGGGGTATATGAGTAGCCTCATTGGTGTATTCCATTAACACCTGAAGGAAAAACATAGAGTGGATGCATACCATGGTGAACGGACCCCCCCCCAGTGCCAGGAAGAAGCTAGTTTCAAGCCATACAATATCTCTAATTCTAAAAACAAACCTCTGCACCAAGAGCAACGAGAACATCCTCGACATCATGACCCGGCTTGGATGGACTGACGATGATGCATCTGTAATTGAAAAAAGTGAAGCAAAACAGTGACGCTTGTTGCACTAGCGCACTGACACTGCCATTTGCGGCTCATAATGGATACCCCTGACTACTACAAGTGTTTCTACTATTTACTGTACCCAGTAAACTAACCTGTAGCCTTTTACCGCACAAGCAAGTGCTATACCAACCGCTACGTTTCCGCAAGCAGGTGCCACAACCGTCTGGTCCTTCGTGAGACCATTCTGAAGTACTCTGGTCAGAAAATATGATGACTTTGGCAAGTCGTCTTTCCCTGCCCAAGTTTCTGTGCACGTCAAAATTATCTTTCACACCTCAATCATCCGAATCGCAGCACGATCTTCCATCGATCCACCAGCATTCATGTACTCCAACTTTACATCTGAAAAAGCATCAAATGATGTGATTTGGAGATTATAATAGGAATGACCAAAAAGAACAGCAAAGTCGCAGCGAAACGGAGCTCGGCGCGGGACATAGCCGGCAGATCAGCCCTCCCCCGACGCGGTCGATCCACCCCTGAGCCGAACCCAGGAAGCTCGAAACGACGAGTTTTGTTTTCCAACAGTGGAAACAAGACTTGACAAATATTGGCACTTCAGAATTTGGCTGCTGGCGGTAATCCTGTTAGTTTCGACAGGCGGAGTGTTTTTCCCTTTGCCTCCAGGATAAGTTGTTGACCATTTTGGCCCGTGGTCTAAATTGATGGCAATTGGCTGCATGCATAAAAAACCGCTGAAAAGTAAATACGCATAGAAGTCGAGTATGGTTTTGGCACATTGTTCAATGATTCCATATGGTTTTATATCAATCCTTCTCCGTCCAGCTTTTCGAACTTTTGACCAGATTTCAATCAAAAGTCTTCCCAGGGACGGTATGGTAAAAACATTGAACAGAGGGGTGGCTTACCCGCTCTAAAACGGATATACTCGGCTGAACTGGAAGCGCCTGAATCCCGCGCCCCAAGTGCTTACAGGCCAATGTGGAACCAACACCCATAGCACATGCACCAGGAGGCTTATTTCAAAGGTATTTGACATTAGGACAGGTCGCACCGCGTTGGGCCTCCGCGTTCAAAAATTTTACTGTTGAACTCTGCTGCGGCCCACCTTCTCGACCCCCCCCCATTCTACCTACCACCTTCCCATGAATCCTGAATTCCCCAGGCCTCGGATTGCTTTTCCAGATTCTTTGAGCGGGGGTTGCGGGAGTGGGCGGAAGGTGTGGTGCACCTGCAACGGGAAAACCTAAAAAAATCAACAACCGAAGACCTCATTGCAAAGACAATGCTACTCCTTTCCTTCCAGCGCATCCAAAGACGACCCCCCTGCTGGGGACACCCACTGCACAACACGCCCTGTTTGAGAATTCTTACTTAGAGAGTCAAACTAATCCTATGTAAGAGCTCCCTGCAAAATCGGTGATGTGAGGCGTTTTCGTGGCAAGACGGTTCTGCTTTATGTTCACGAGGTCAGACTACCCCAGATCGCAAAGTCCTAGACAAATCTACCCTGTGGAAAAAATTCGATGAAAGTTTTATCGAGTTTCTCGAAAAATTGGGCTATAGAGGGTAAACAGTGCCATTCTTTTGCCAATATACATAGTGGTCCGTTCTAGTACACCCAGCTGAAAAAATCAATCGGCCTTTTTTAAGGATGTGCTGGCAACCATTGACGCCTGTCGACACCTGATCGACGTGTGTTAGTCAGCATACCCCATGCTGCTTTGGTAGCCCCTAACACGCCCAGCATGATCATTAGTAATTCACTTTTTCATGTAATAAAGTGGAAAGCTTCTCCATTAGCTTTTTCAACGAGATACTCTACAAAAACTCGTATTATTTCGTTTACATGTTGCAAGACATGTAATAAAGTTGTAAGTTGTATTATTTCATCGATCTCGTCCTCTTCCAGTACTTTTGTTGGTTTGGAACGGACTATCTATTTCTTATCACGACTATCTTTTCCTTGGCACTCTTTCCTT